TAGCTCACATTCTACTACTTATGAGTTTATTCCTGACACACTAATCTACTTTTGGTATAATGATAAAGTAAAATTTCTAGATATATAAAACTAAGAATAAAATCTCAAAAGGCAAGTACATTTTCCAACATAAAAAGCATCTTAGTGTCCTGTTAGTCTTCATTGTCAATACCCTTGGGAAACAGGAGCCACTTAGATTTAATAGAGAAAGAGAATGAGATATTGAGGATTTAATAATGAATGATTTATTAATTCCAAATTATTCTACATGGACATTTATGTTAAGGTCTACACATTGTTGCTTAAATTTGATATTGCTTTCAAGTTTATTGTCATACACTTATTTTCCAAATTAACATTTTCCTTAAGAAATTGAAAAGATGAAAAAAATACCTCAGTCTGTCAGGACTCAAACACAACTCTCAGGGTTTTTTTTTTTTTTTTTTTTTTTTAACTTGGTAATAAGTACTAACAGACTATGGAAAAGAAAGCAAATAGTTATAGATCTACAGACTTTCATAAGAAAGAAGATTACAGGTATAACCGAAAAAAAAAAAAAAAAAAAAAAACCAAGCAATTATGGATCCACAGACTTTCATTAAGAGGTTGTATCAGACAGCTATAAATTAACAATAGTGTATTTCAACCATTCTAACATTTATAAAGAGTAAGATTACAGATGATCTATACTAGTGTATCTCAATATGTGTTTCCTGGAATGCTATTTTACAAACCTATCTATCTATGTGCATAGTCAAATAAACTTGGAAAATTCTACACATGACATTTCTCTTTTAAAGAGTCATGAAGTGCATCAATGTATTAAAGGCTCTAAAAAGGTATGCTGTAAATAAAAGCCAATTAACCATAACATATCATATTCAATTTTATTAGATTTGGGAACTTCTTTAAGCAAGGTATTCCTGAAGAATACATTTGAGAAATGCTTATCTGTATATTCTGATAATATCAATAAGGGTTTTCTATCCATAGGAATAAAAATCAAAGTTACTTCTCACCACTGTTACCGTGCTATGAAGTAAAGTAATGACCATTTTGTTGCTGTATATTGGAGCAAAAAGGAAGATTCATTATCAGTACGAAGATCCTTTCTATAATGGAGAACTCCTACAAATTTCCTGTTTATACTTACACTGGTTCAACAACAACAACAAAATGCTATCTTAAAAATAAGTTGCATGTTGATTTCTATCTAAAATATGTATATAGCTCAAACTTAAAATACTTTTATAATAGATCTTATCTATGATCAACCTAGTAAACTGCAAAAAATTGTATGCATGTAGGTCTTTCTGTACGAGTACAGGGGAAAAAGGCCTTTTTGTTAACCTGACCCCATGAGGATATTAAAAAAAATGTTAAAATAAAAAATCCTATAATAAAATTAAACCATATTCATTGCCAGTTTTGTAGACTCTAAATTTAAAATATGTCAAGAAAATGTTTTAACACAAAATACAGCACAAGAAATATATGTTACTGGTTGGTAAGTAAAATTACTTTATTATAATACTGCTAGTAGAATAAAATCAACACACATAACTTGTACATGCAAGGGAAATACAACATAATGGAAACGGGTCTCAGCACATTCCTTTACTAGAATGTGGTCATCTGCCACTAAGTACACAAGCTCATGCATAAGATCAAGACATTACATACAGCTGAGATCACAATGTCATGCATATAACAACAGCGTGCTAGATAATCGTACCACAAATTGTGCAGATGTTCTCCCCCACCCCATGAGCCACTGCCAGCAGTTGCTGTGGAGTTTGGTTACCCATATCCGTGACATGAACGGTGTCCTTTGGAGATTCTTGTTCCCTGTGGCTGTAAGTATTCTTATTTTTATAATATTTTAATGATGCTTGCTATTAAAATGTTAAGTACAAAACTAGAAATTATGGAAAAGTAGACTTTTTATAATACTGAACAATTATATACATCTTATCTCAGATAACTGCAATAAACACCACTTACACTTAAACATATCATCCAAGTAATTTACTGCTCAGAGTTAAATGAACTAAAAATGATATTTCTGATGACAGTGCTCCAGTGAGTGGGGGGAAAAATCAATCTCCAATAAGTACTCTTGATTTCTAGCACTCAAAAACCTTGACAAACATCATTCTAATGACCTGGCTAACATATGACTCATACAGATGAGTTCAACATAAGAACATCTTTTTGGATAACCCTTTCACTTTTCAATTTGAAGACCTGAAACAATTAATCAAATGGCTATAATATATTTATATTAGTAACAAACATATACAATATAGTCATTAAAACACTTCCCTTCATTCCTCAGAACATATTAAATATATTTCAATATCTTGTTTTGCCTATTTGTATCCTAAGTGCATTCTGGTAAAGACAGAATTCTATTTTGCTATCAGACAACACCTGCTTAATTACTGATATTTATAAAGCACAACATCAGAATTCTGGAACCACAACATACTTTGAGTGGTTCAAGTCTACACTTATGGACAGCACCATATGGCCCTTTCAAAATGGTAAATTCAGTACTTCTGGAATTCTCAAGGATATCTTTAAATCAGGCCAAGAAGTAAAGAAAAAGAAAATACAGCCAACTCTCAATAGCAATGGAAGGTAGGATGGATAAGTAAAATCTAATGATCAAAAAAATTATAATTAAATTAATAACTTCAATCCACTCTCTTAGCAAACATTTTGATTTAAAAAATTTAAAACTGTCAGATTAAAAAAAAAGAATTTGAATTTTACCTCTTGTCTCTGCCTCCCCTCCAAATACTCTAGAGGAGGTAATAACAAGAATGCTATATGCTGATATATGTAGCTGCAAAAATGGAATCATATTTTTACATCTAGCTTTTTCAATGTGAATACTTAAAACTAGTCAATATTTTAGTGTATGAGGATATATATGTATAAGTATATATAAATATGTATATTTAATATTTGAATAAAAAGATGGCTTTAGGATTTGTTTTAAAAACAGATACTCTTAGCAAGGAAAGACTACTTACCATAATCAATATCTGCAGTTACATCCAACTTTTCCCAACTTTATAAATCTACAACTTGGTACTTACCAAGTTACATTTTCCTTAGAATGCAACATTTTCAAGTCATATCAATCAAATATGAGTTTTACTCAACATCAATATAATTTGTGATGAGATCCAGTATGGCTTGAGAAACTAGGCAAAATAAAGACTGGGGCTTACAAGAGCTGCCTCTTCTGATCCCTATATATTCTAGAGTTAAACACTGTACTATTCTGCCTCAGTTCTTCAATTACCTCAATAGATTGATGCAAAACATATATCTTGTCATAAAATTCATCGTGAGAACTATTTTAATTAGCAATGAGTAATGTCTAATTTAAATAACAAGTTGAGAACAATAAAGTCTCTGACACCATGCCATTCTCTGATTATCTACCTATAGCAGAATTTCTTGAATGGAGAAGATAAGCCACAGTGTAAGATAAAAAAGATGACTAGCTCATTGTTCCCATATGTTTACAAGGAAAAGAACAGATTTGACCAAAACAAAGTAAAAACAAGTGTTTTTTTTTTTTCAATAATAAAGGGTATCAGAAAAATTAACAATAAAATAATAAATATTAAAACAACTTATGATAAATAATTTATCCATTCATTTGCCTTTCTTAAGAATGATCATTAGGTTCTAAAAAACAATATTATATTCATTCTAAATATATAATTTAAACTTTAACTTCCAATGAATCATTCTATTTTCATTAAGAGTATCAATTTTCTCTCACCTCTTAGAATAGTAGAGAGAGGAAAGAGAACAAATATCTGAATTTCAATATTACACCAGGTTTTAAAATTTGTAAATTTGTTAGCAATGAAACTTTATTTGATTTTTCATGTGTACAAGAAAAATTTAACAAAAAAAGAAACTATATGCAATAAGTGAAAATCAATTTAAAAATATGCTGTCACTAGTATTATTATATGTACATTTATAAAATCAGTATTTCTGTTCAAGATAAAAATATTTACATGGGAGAAATATTTCCCTAATTATAACAAAAATCAATTCCCTAATTTTAGAACATGCTTAGCTGCATGATTTAATGAGTCCTTTGTTTTTTCCTTGGGGTAGTGGAAACTAAACTCAGGGCCTGATATGTGTTAAGTAAGTACCCCATCACTATGCTACATTCTCATCCCTAAATAGTCCTTAAGACTTCTATAAACAAATAAAAAAGTTGTTTTTTTTTTAATTTAAAAGATTTGTCTAGTTAATATTTTTCCATAGAAAATAATACTCCTGGAAGTATTAATTTTGAGCATTGAATAATTTCTACTTAGATTTCAAAGAATTAGTGTAGTAGGTATTTAAACAATTCTGAAAATTAGAACTTTTTCAGAATAAATTAAAATGAGAATAGGAAAAAAAGAGTAGAAGAACTGGCTTCACATTTTGATCATTATTACATTTTAAGAAATAATTAAATGATCAATATAAAATTTTTCAATTTTATAACAATCTCTAAGTACTTTTTATGTCAACAAAGACTTATAGGCATCAATTAAAGACAATATTTTGATGTTGGAAACTAGAATGATGTTATCTGTGATTATGATAAAAGTGTATCACTAGTAAACAAACAATAAACAGAAAATGCATAGACAACATTTGATGAACCTATTCCATGTTCTAATTATCAAAATGTCATATTCTCCAGTAATAAGTATCTCTAAAAGATCAGAAGAGGACTGCAAATGTCATGGATGCTGTCATACAAAGTGAGCAAGTAGAAAGAGTAGAACAAGATATAGTAAAGGAAAATGACTATGTCATATAGTAATAATTAAAATACGAGGCTTCTTAGTGATTGAAAAGGTATGTTCAATTACTTGTTTTACCTGCAAATTTGTTATGTTAGAAAGCTGCAGCAAGATAGCAATAAAGTTCACATGACTCAAATATTCACATTTTTCACTTACCTCATCGGGGTTGGCATTAAAGGTAAGGCTACCTTCATCCAGCTGCATATACAGTTTTCTAAAAGAAAATCCTAGAGGTGGATTCTTATTGTAAATGGAACAGTGACCCCAAGTGGATTTGCACAACCTGAAAAATAAAAGAAAATGAGACAAAAAGTTATTGCATTTAATTTCCTAAATATGCATGAATATGATAAAAGAGAAATATTAAATAATATAAAATTAGATCTTGTAGCTCTAAAGTTTAAAATTTTTAATTTTATATTTGATTTTTTATTTATCAAACATGATAAGTGCCTTAAATTTGGCAATTTTCATAGAACCTAAAAATTTAAGTTACAAAGATTAATAATGTTCATAAATACTACCTGAAGTTTAAAATAAGTATCAATAATAGTAATAATAACTGAAAGTGCTTACTAGATGCTAGGCACTATTTTAAGTATTTCAATTGTACTAATTTACTCAACTCTCTCAACAATCCTGATGTTGGTGCAATAGATAAAAAACAAAAAGACAAAAAAGTTGTCCAAAGTCACACAGCTAATAAAGTATACAGGCAGGATTTGAACACAATGAGTCTTACTCCACAGCTTGAAATCTTAATCAAGATTCTAAATGGAATATATTAGGTACCTATGCCCTACTGTGAAATAAAAATAAATGGGGTTTGGGGTCGGGTGGGAAAATTGTTGGGTAGGGAAATAATCTTTTGCTTTTTCAAAAATGCATATATTAACAGACAAACTAAACATAGCAATTGTAATGTTACAACTTTAATACATCAAAAATGTAATGTTAAGCACGACTGTTAATACAGTTTTTCAAACACACTGATTCTTTACTATTACAATGATAAATGATTATTTTAAAAGTCTATAGAATCTAAAATACTGTTTGCATCTAAAAATACACTATTTTCTGCAGACCAGTATAGTGGTTTCCGACTCTGTACAGAGGTAATAACTATAGGTTGTTATCTGAAAGCTCAATTTTTGTCTTCTTATGAATGCATGGAAATTCTGGAGTCTTTGCCTCAAAAATGTAAATTTTTATGTGTATGTTCAAAATATCTGCAACTTGTTGAGAGAAAACAGTTTCACCCTCTAATATTCATTATTGATTTCTGCCTCAAATTTCCTTCTTTTCCTTTCCTCTCCCTTTCTCTCTCCCTTTCTCTCTCTCTCTCTCTCTCCCCCTTTCTCTCTCTCTCTATCTCTCTCTCTCTCTCACACACACACACACACACAGAGCAGAGAAAAATGTGAAAAAAGTTATTGTTTTAGTCCATAACATCAGAAATTTCGAGGATAAATGGGTAAAATACTTGATTTGACACTATCCTCTTAATAGTTAATTTATATCCTGGCATTACTTTTACTAACCAAATGAAATCACTGATTTTAATTGTTTAGAAATCAGCTTCTGAGTTTTATAACTAAGCTATGTGAAAGCAATAATCTCCCAACATCAACAAATATTCAACATATTCAAAGTTAAAAACCCAGCCAACCTTTAATTTCAAATAGAAACAATTTATTAATAAGAAAAATCAAATGTCATAGATATAGGCATAACTATATGGCAAACAATAAAGCATTTCTTTTGGAGATACACCATCCAGATTTAAACTTCAAATGAAAAATTCTGCTTGAGTTCAGATAAGCTTAGAAATGAGCTTTTTTCAAGTTCAAATGTAGGAAAACAAATTAAGTTTGAGAGGAATGTTAAAATGTAGAAAAATATTACAAAGAATGAGCTAATTTAAAAGTATTTAATTCCCTCATAAGTTCATAGGTGATTAAAACTTATGACTTATATCAAACACTTCTAACAGAATTTCCTCTCATATAATACCTTCACTATGACAAGGCACTGAAAGCATAACAATACCAAACTAAAGATTTTATCTATTCATAAGCTGAGAAATGACCTGTGTTATTTTATACTATAATTATGTAACATTAGGAAGGCTAACATTAGAAATTTCACTACTGGAAATACCTTTTTACTAAAGTTTGACAATTTAGATTAACGTATTAATTCCCTCAATTAGATTCCCAGTTAACTGGGAATCTAATTGAGGGAATTAATACGTTAATAATGATTAATAAGATTTCAGATGGCTTTGAAAGCTCTTTTCAAAGTGCTTCCTGGATATTCTCTTCAATGTTGGTGGAAATGACAGTTGAACTATGGCTGACACTTTGTATTGTATTCACAATACTGTTACCATTTTTTTTTTAAAAACTGTTCTATACTTATGTTCTTGAGATTCAACATGTTTATTTCACATTTTTAATAGCACAAACAAATTTCTTTACCATTTAAAGACAATTAATCTAGAGATAAAACAACAATAATAAAAATATCAATATATTTATTTAAAAAAAAGAAATTATTTAGTTTTAAAAATATTTTTATTTCTAGATATGCTCTTTGTTATTATGAAATTCCATTTTTAAAACAATGCAACTTAAATAAACTTTGGTAAAGAATGCTAGAAAGTCTGAGATCCCAAAATTCTCCTATGTTTGGTAACATTTTCAGGACCCAAAAGAAACAAACCACAAGGACCTATGATTTTTTTTTAAGTATGTAGTGCTATTTAAGAAGTAACTTAGGTTCAATTACAGACTCTATACTTCCAAATGTTCCTAGATTTGTAATTTAATTTAAACTGGTATAATAGTCACTAAAATTTCTATTATCCATTTTAAGCAAATAGACTGTTTATCCCCTTGCTTTCTAATTTTTTTCCTACTGTATTGATGAAATGGTTATAAAAAATAAAAAGTAGATGAAATTTTCACCAGCTAAAGTTTATGCTAATAAGCACCTTTGATAAAAAATGTATAACTAAAAATATACACATGTGGGTTAGGATTGTGGCTCAGCGGTAGAGTGCTCGCCTAGCACGGGCGGGACCCGGGTTCGATCCTCAGCACCACATAAAAATAAAGGCATGGTGTCATTTCCATCTACATCTAAAAAATAAATATTAAAAAAAACATACACATGTACTCCCTTGGAAACCATTAACATCTGAGGATTATTTATTGATGTTTAGGTATGCCTGTTTTTCAGATGGGATACCTGTGGGAAGCACAAACGACAGAGAGGATGTGAAGACTCCAGGTTCTGAATTATAAATTCTCAGTTCAGAACTTTGTTGTACTTTTAGAATAAGCTGGAAATTTCTGATTTATAACAAACTGAAATTTATAACCTCTCTTTTCACTGTAAAGTCATTGATCCATTTTCCTTTCTACTATCTTTCTTTTCTCAATATCAAATTTGACTGTTAATGATAACTTTCTCTATTTTTTTCAGGTTTAATAAAGTGCAATTCAAAGTACAAGCCAAAGTGAAAAAAATTTATTTTATATATATATATATATATATATATATATATATATATATATATATATTTTTTTTTTTTTTACAAGAAGAACATTAAGCCTGATTACGTTTAGAGAGATCTGAATCAAATATTGGTGGGTTTAACTTACCCTTGCCAGAGGAGTTCATCATTAGCAAGGTCCTGCCAAACACATGAAGCCAAGCAGAGGTCAGTTGCATTCAGATAGGACAAGATGGTAAAACTTAGCTCAGGAGGCAACATTTCCAAGTTAATGAATCCTTCTTGTTCTTTAGATTTCCTTGCTTTTAAAAGATGATATATATCAATGCCTCCTTGGACTTGTTTACGATGATTGGTGTTAGAAATGTTGCTTGCAGCCATTCTCCTGTTCTGCTCTCTGGTGAGGTAGCCTTGCTCACTATAGCCTTCCTGTTGTAGCTGCTGGTTTCTGGCCACTCTCCACAGCCCTTGACCCATCTGCAAGACTGAGAAAAAGCCAGAATGTAATAATGGTAACATTAAAAAAGTAAAACATCTTTCCCAGTAGTACAACAAATTTAACATGAAGCATTCACTTATCAGAATTAAAGTTCCTCATTAAAGACTAGTAAAACCAGTAGTATATTACAAAGAATAGTTGAACATTTAAAGTACAAAAGTTGGATGGAGAAAGTTTCAGAAATATTTCGTGTGATCATCACCTTTTTCCCAGCTTGCTAACTCTTTTAAGTCCACAGGTGACAAAATCATTTTTCATATGGTAAGATTTAAAAGTTACTGATGTTCTAAAGACTCTTACAAATTATAATTATGTGGACTTATGGACCAGTATTAAATACAGCTCTGATCAGAGCACAGGACTTTAGTTAAAAGGCCTCCAGACCCTGCTTTTTATCACAATTCGGGCTAAGCTAAACTAGCCCCTTTTAACCAAACTCCCAGATGCATAACAGCTGTGAAACAGGCTTTTCGTTTAATTCTTGCCAGTCTACACTTATGTTGTAGACTGTAATAAAATGTAACATAGGCCCTGAAGTCTAATTTGGAAACCTTATAAATTAGACACCTAGAACTCCATGATAAATTGCTTAGTAACAGTGGACTATTTTATTTTGTTGTTGCTTTAAAATAAAAATCATAATTTAGACTATTTTTCCAATACTTCTCCACATGGCTCCATGGATTCCCCTGAGGTACCTGGGGAAAAGCAAAATAAGAAGGTGTGCTCTAGTCTCCCTCACCTCCATTTGACTTGCCACCAGAGCAGCTCTAAATTTTTCAGTTACAGATATTGGACTGTAATATACAGATACTTAGAAAACAAGTGGCCTAGATTTCTTATTTGATCTTGTCTTTAAAATAAGCAGTTTTTCCTGAGTAATAACTTTATTAAAAAAAAAACCTAAATAAGGAATAGCTTTTAATACAGGTAATTCCTTTCATGATCACTCTTTCAAACAAAATATTCTTGCTTTATTAACCCAAGTTGACTACTAATACCTGTTTGTGTTTCAAAAATTTGGAAAAAAAATACTGATTTTTACATAAAATCATTAACATTGTCAAATCCATTCATAGCATTACTTGAACTTATAGTTTTGTTAAGAAAAAAGAAAAAAAAAACTCTCAGAAAGATGAAACAAGAACAAACAACAAACAAATGAACAAACAAGCAAACAAAAACTACAACACTGCTGGCTAGAAACTCTGAAAATTCTTAGGAATAACTTGAAAATTGAGTAGACCTTAAAAGAATGTCAAAGATATTATTTTCTTAATATTTAAAAAGGAATAATCCACATGTATATTTACTAAATTACGGGCTATTATCTGGACAATGACTATCACATTAGGTTACTTGTTGATCCAAACAAGAAAAATTATTAATTTTAACTACTCCTTCTTACATTGAACTGCTTGAAATTCTAGCAGCTTAAGCTACAAAATGGTGGCATATATGTGTGCATGTTGAAGTAGGAGGTTAAGAAAAAAAGAATATATTAGTGATTTTAAAACACAGAAGGCACAAAAACTAACCTTTCGTTACCTACCATGCATACCACTATAATGGTATCAGTTCTTAAATTATGAGTTCAGCTTTAAAAATTTAATGCTTAAAAACCACATACTATTAAGAAAATGGAAGGACAAACCACAGACTGGGAGAAAAATCTTTGCAAAAACATATATATAATAAAGGGCAATAATCCAAAATATACAAAGAATGCTTTAAACCCCCCAATAAGAAATAAACCACTTAAAAATGGGGAAAAGATCTCAGTAGGAGTCTAGTAAATTTTTTGTTCTTTTTCCTGTTTAGGAAAAAACATCTCAATAGACACCTCACCAAAGAAGACTACAAATGACAAGAAGACACTCAACATCCTATGTCATTAGGAGACTGCAAATTAAAACAATGAGATAATATTACATAACTGTTAGAATGGTATATTCAAAACACTGGCAATAGCAAATTCTAGCAAGGATTTATAGGAATGTAAAAAGACACAGTTACTTTGGAAGACAATTGGCAGTTTCTTACAAAATCAAACATAGTTTTATCATATGATCCAGCATTCATTCATACTTTTTGGTACTTACCCAAATTAGTTGAAAACTACAAAAAATCTGCACATGTATGTTCATAGTAGCTTTATTTATCATTACCAAAACTTGGAAGCAAGAAAGATGTGCTTAAGTAGGTGAGTGTATAAACTATGGTACATACATATAATGGAATACTACTCAGCACTAAAAAGAAATGAGCTATCAAGCCATGAAAAGTCATGAAGAAAACTTAAATGCATATTAGTAAATAAAAGAATCCCATATGAAGCTATGACCTCAATTTTACAACATTCTGGAAAAGGCAAAACTATGGAGTTGATTTAAAAAAATTAATAGCAAAAAAATATAGAATGCCAACAAAAATTCATAGAGAGTTTTCAATTCTCTTAATATTTAAATAGGCCATATTACATTATAAAATAAGCACACTTAATTTTGACACAAATGTAACATTTTAAGACTCACAATCATAAAAAAGGTATTTTATTTTCATGTTTTTTTGGTTTAACAGCAGGAAAATACCTAGGTATCACATGTGTTGCTAGTTTCATCTAGTGTATCTGTTATTCTAAATAACTAAATTCATTTTTCTATTTTGCACCACTAAAGGTAAGTAAGCAAACATGGTAACTATGGTGTCTGAAATCTTAATATTTAAGATATTTAATAATAACTTTCATGTACTTCCTCTATAGCATCTTTTTAGTGGCATATGTTTAAGCAGCTGTTGTTAGGGCTGTTGCTAGGAACAAAAAACCAGGGTGATTTCCCTAGGCTCTGGACTTTAATGAGGATCATTTAAATTAAGCACTGGATAATGTGATTCAGAAAGCATCCAGCAGGTAGAAAGAGGTAAAGGGCCAGTTGCTATTTCTTAAAAAAAAAAAAAAATGATGGGGAGGGTGGAGAGTTGAGGCTCAAAGAGAACTGCAAGGTTACTTATGGGATACTTGACTCTAAATTGTAGCTTTTACACATGTAATGTGGAAAAATAATAATACCTAAAGCTCAAAAGGCTGTTGTACTGGAGATGATGTCTACAAGATTCATTTTATGCCTAACAATCAACACACGTTAGGTATTACTTTCTTTTGTCAGAATCATTTTGGCTTATGACGAACACTTTCATAAAATGTATTAAAATACTTTAGCTATTCTGAGGTTTTGCCTGCTGAATAAAGTTATTTATGTTTATACTTGCCTAGGTTTGTAGGGATTATACACACAAATTCCTAATCTCTTTTAATTATTCTTATATTTTGGCCAAGTATTTTTGGGTTTTGTTTGGTTTGGTAAATGCAATTTGTTTTTCAATGACCAATACTCACCCACGGGGGGAAAAAAGCCCTTTAAAAAAAGGTTGTGAATTCCACAAAAAGATTCAAAAGTCAATATGCCTGACAATGATTCCAATAGCAATATCTTGAAACAGGTTCTTGTGCTATCATTAGTCATCTGTCAACTTCTGGCTTTAAAATTGAGATTCAAAATATGATATGGAACATGAAGAGATCTAAATTATGCAGTTAATGCTGGGTTGTTGCATTATTGAACTAAACAAAACTTGATTTCAAGGTATGGCATTTTTAGAATTGCCAAGTTTTAATAAAATCTTGGTATAAGAATTTTTACTGAAGCATACATAATATTATAAAAGATATAGTGCTGTCACTCATAGCAATTATTTGGTTAAAAAAAGTCACTGAATAGTTGAATCACTGAATATATAAAGAATTCCAAATTGAAAAAAAAATGAACACAGAAGTTTTTGTATTTGAAATCATTTTTTAGAGAGAGAGAGAGAGAGAGAGAGAGAGGAGAGGAGAGGAGAGGGGAGAGAGAGAGAGAGAGAGAGAGAGAGAGAATTTTTTAATATTTATTTTTCAGTGGACACAACATCTTTATTTTTATGTGGTGCTGAGGATCAAACCCAGTGCCGCGCGCATGCCAGGCGAGCGCGTTACTGCTTGAGCCACATCCCCACCTCCATCAGTTCTGTTTTAATATGAATTTTTGTGGTGAAGTTACTGCTGGTAACTTATATGTTCACTACAAATAGGTTGAGGGAAATGGATAATGCTTTCCTGGAAAAAAATTCTTCACTTTTAAAAGAGAAATAATAACTAGTGTATTTCATGTATAAATATTAGAAATAAAATTTATTCTTATTATTCATTTTAGCTGTGTTTTATAAAATTCAGTGAAAACACTGAATTACTAACTACTGAATCATTGCTCCTACAGAAAATACAGAGATATTTACAATGGTCAAACAGCCAAATGAATGAGATTTGAAAACTTCTACTTTCCTAGAATTTGCAAACATGCCTATAAGGAGCATTACTTGACTACTGTTGTGATCAGTTAATCCTGATCAGTCTCAGAGTCATTAAATACTATTTTGATTTAAGAGCAAAATATTCATGTTCAATTCCACACTGCCCACAAACACACTCATGAAGCACAGTAGTGGACAAGAAACTCTGAAGCCTTATATTAATGACTATTGAGTGAGGAACTGGTAATCAAATTGAGTAATCCTAAATACTTAGTTCTAAGGAATGCATCACATGAACTGAACAATAGCCATTTTATTAATTTAATCTCCTGCATAAGAATTTCATATTTTGGTTGATTTATTATCATATTTTACATTTCAAACTTAAACTTAACTTTCTATCCTAAAGTCCTATGCTGTTGTGGCATAGCAGCATAGTAATAGGATGATGTAAATGAAAGTAATAAGATTCAGAATTATTCAAAAATTAACAAAACCTTTGAAAAATATTTACCCAGAAGATTGCACAGAGCTTCTTAATTAGCTAATGTTCCCTTTGTGGAGTAAACAGTAACTACCATGAAAAAAGATTTCAACATATTGGTGTAACATGAAAAGTGGGAGGAGGAGTGGTTTCCA